GACTGCGTTTCATAATTTGATTTCGCATTTTCCAGACATATAACAACGTTTTGAAAGCAGAATTAAATCAGATCTTGATTTTACACTCCAGAGAGTTTCAGAATCCAGCAGCTCAGCTGACTGCAAAATTGTGTAGACATCATGTAGTCCGTAACGGCATTCTGGAAAAATGCGATGTACATAAAAACTATGTCCATGTACATAAGCATACGTACACAAACATACGCATATCTATGTCTGTATGTGATTAAGCAATTGGACATTTGGACTGACTTCTTCTTGGTTTAAATCGAATCATAATTCATCCTTGTATATTTATGACTTAAACATACACATCTCGCATAAAGATCAATCCTCTACTGCGAATTTTCGAAATCATTCCCCTGCAGGTATCCGATGTCCGAAGTAAAGGTTAATTGTCGCTCGTCCTGCGTCTCTCTCATATTTTCTGGGAACGAACTTCCAGAGACGTTATCTAAAATATTCCTCCACTCACTTTCTCTCTATATACAGATATGTGTAAATATACATACTTATGGACACACACACACACACCAACACACACACACACACACGCACACACACCACACAACACACACACCACACACACACAGTATATATATAATATATACATATATTCTATATACAATAATACATATACATATTATACTATAATAAAAATATTGGGACACACAAATATATGCATTAGGAGGAGGATAATATAAGAGATAAAAAGAGAGCAACGCGGTGAACACGGGCAGGAAAGGACAGCTAAGCAAGGTCAGGTCAGGTCGAAGGATCAGGCAGTCTATGCGAAGAGTGGCCAGCATAAGGGAGGAGGCCAAGGAAGTGGGACGCGAGGAGACCGCCGACAGGAGGAAAGTCGCTGTTAAAGTTGAATTTCGGCCGCCGCTGGATTAAGGAAGATTCCACTAATCTGCGACCACGGACGTCAGCGGAAGGGAAGACAATGCGCGCCGCTGACCAATCCATTTGATGGCCTCCGTCCGACTAATGGCAGAGGGGGACGTTGACGTTCAAACATACACACAGAGCTGTATACATACATACATACATACATATACAAGAGGGGGACGTTGACNGAGAGAGAGAGAGAGAGAGAGAGAGAGAGAGAGAGAGAGAGAGAGAGAGAGAGAGAGAAAGAGAAAGAAAGAGAGAGATACATATATAAACTATACCTCCATAAAATAATGCACACCCATATACTATACCCATACACATGTCCGCAATAACCAAGAAAACGATTTTCAGACAAGCTGACGCTGACATGAGAGAAAATTAACACCTGATAAATCATTCACCAAGTTTTGGCAACATACACAAGTAAAATCCTAGTTTAAGTGTGACAGAACTGAGTCGTGAGGCTGGTTCAACAACCCATATGATCTTGGTGTAAAGTGAATGTTGCTTTTGAGCGTTATTTTAACTGCGAAAATGACTATTACACTCAAAGGCGCCGCTGGAATAATATGATAAAAATGATGATGGTGATGGTGATGATAATGATAATGATGATGGTTATGATAATGATATTGATATTAATGAAAATAATGATAATGAATATGATAATAATAACGATAATGTTAATCATTATGATAATAACAATGATAATAATGATAATGATTAAGAATGATAATAATGATGACAACAATAATAACAATAATAACACTGACAATAACGATAATAACAATGACAATGATAATAATTAGAGCAAAAACTACAATAATGATAATTATCATTATTATTATAGCAATTATAACAACAACAAAACAATAGTAATAATGATAATAATAATGATAATGATAAAAACAATAATGATAACAACAATTAAAAGATAATAATAATGATAATGATAATAATAATAATAATGTTATTATTGTCATTTTCATAAATGATGATTATGATAGTAGTGATAATGTAGATAATGATATTGAGGATAATAACAGTTCTAAGGATAACAATAAAAATGATAATGATAATATTGATAACGATAATGGCGTGATTAATATGATAATGATAATAATGATAAAACTGATGATGGTAATGAAGTGCTAATGAAAATGACAATTATACAAAAAATGATAGCATTGATATCGCTAATGATATTAATGACATTTATGGCAATCTTTATCATCCCTCCAATATTCATCCTCTGTCTCAACATTCTCTTTGCATTGCTAATACTGCTGTGATAATTATGATATTAATGTGATTATCGTTTTCATGGCTGTTTGTTTGTTTCTGTCTTCTTATATCTCTCTTATACTCATCTTGTCACCACCATCCTCGTCAGTATCATCACCATTACTAAATTAAGATAAACCATCATTATTTCCACCATACAAGGAAAAAATTGTTTGTTTATAACTGTTATAACTCTCCTATGCTCATCTTGTCACCTCCATCTTCGTCAATATCATCACCATTACTAAATCAAGATTAACCATCATTACGATCACCAAACTATAAAAGAAAATTGAGCACAACAGATATTAATTTCTCTCTGAAAAAGCAACCCAGCGTGAGAGCAATTACTCGCATTAATATTGCTAACGATCAGCATCCTGCCCTTAATGAAAACGACCACATTGTAGGTACAAAGCTACTCTTGCATAACTATGCTCGGCATCGGTCGCGTTTGTCTGTTCGTCTGTCAGAGCTGCTTTCTATGTACGAAAGAGGGTTTGGTGCGACGGGAATAATCATCTTAGTTCCCACGTCAATGCTATGGAGAACTGTTTAGACTTTTAAACGGGAATAACTTGATGGTAACGGTTAAGAATGGGTTCATAGGAGGGAAGAAGGAACGGGTAGAAGAGAAAGAGGAAAATGGTATGAAAAAGGAAAAGAAGAAGAATAGAAGGATGAATAGAAATAAGATGAAAAAGAGGAGGAATATCATAAAGAATAAAAGGAAGGAGAAAAACAATAGGTAGAAGCAAAGAATAAATAAAAGAGAATGAGGAATAATAGTAAGAAGAAGAGTAAGAGTAAGAAGAGGAGGAGAAGGAGGAAGAGGAGTAGGGACAGGAAGAGGAGGTGGGAGAAGTAGAGGAGAAGGAGGGAGAAGAGAAAGAAGAAGAGGAGGCGGAGGAAGAAGAAGACGATGAGGAGGAGGAAGAGGAAGAGGAGGAGGAGGAGGAAGAAGAAAAAAATAGGAGGAAGAAGATGAAGAAGAAGAAGAAAAACAGAAGGATGAAGAAGAAGAAGAGGAAGAAAGCATAATCTCCAGAACCAAGCAAGACACCAATGCACTCTCACGCTCCACTTCTCTGTTCTGCGACCAGACTGTCTTTAGCAGAAAGATCCAGAAACGAGGCAGCGGCGCATTCTCAAAAAATCAAACAAACGCTCATAAACAAACAAAGAGCAAGGCAAGGACAAAGGACGGCGCAGTGACACCGTGAATTTGCATGATGACTTGTTTCTTCAAAAACCCGGTAGCGATGCTTTTATTTCGTCACAGCTTTTGACTTCTGCTCACTGTCACTGACCGGGAAGGTATCTCGTGATTCCCTGTTTGTATATTTAGGATTCTGTGGTTAGGTTATAGGCGATAGTGGTTCTTATAATGGTTTCATATTACATTTATGATTCTATGTAAGACCCCCTGCAATCCACACGAAAAACGGTCAATGAATATTTTCATTATGTCTATTTAGTATATGGGATTTTTTTTTTTTTTATCTTATCAACACTAATCTTATCATTCTACAAGACATCTATAAACTAAGTTTAAGTTACGCCTTGGTACAACAGCGTCACGCACCAAGGCGTTCCCAGTAACAGACCGCAGCGACTGTCTTCGAAGGGAGCTCCCGACCAACACAATAGCACTGCAGTTCAAGCAACAGGCCGAAGTAGAGACAACACGGTAGCCAAGCAAACCAATTTACAAACACAGGCATTCACCACAACGTTCCCAGTCACATGGTAATACGCATGTCGATGGTTCTTGCTCATCTTGGAACCGGTTTTCGGGTCAGCTTATATAGCGAAACCGAGCTCCGACGTGGCTCTCGGGTCGCCCCGCCGCCGCAGGAAGTGGGTGACGCGAAATGGGAGAAATGGCAATGGGACACGTTCTGCGGCAGCATCCAGGGAGCAGCGGGTGTCCTCTCCTGTTAACTGTGGCTGGTCGACTGTGCTTAGAATGACATGTAGTGTAATTCGTTTTTTTTTTCTTCTTTTTTCTTTTTTATAAAAACAATGCAATGTGACTCACTGGCTCTTGAAGAGATACTCGACTTCTTTCTCGGTTGTTATGCTTTCCTTTTTTAATCTGAACTCTCTCTCTCTCTCTCTCCCTCTCTCTTCTCTCTCTCTCTCTCTCTCTCTGTCTCTCTCTCTCTCTCTCTCTCTCTCTCTCTTTCTCTCTTGTCATATCCCTTTCATCCTTCTCCTCAATTTCATCTGCTACTTCTCCACGTTTGTCCTTGAACATAGCCGTCAGCTGTACCGTGTAACCCCAAGTCTTGGTACACTTCGAAGAGATACCAAAACAAGATTCATATCCCCTTCAGAATATTAAAGAAAGGAGAGAAGGAATAAAACAAAAGTTTATTGCAAATTCATGCGAATTCACTGCAAAGGAATCTTAACCAACGCCGCACCATGATGACTTCCTTACACTTTTTGTCAATAAACATAACGACCCAAGTATGTGGCGGAGAGCCATAAGATGCAAGAGAAATGTCAGATACATGTGCCAAGAAACAGCCCACGATTAACTAAATTTAGACTGCAAGAATTGTGAATGATCGCAAATTAGACGTATGTACAGTTTTCATGAACTAACAGTCCGCCTGTCTATTAAACTGGAAATTAGTTATATAATATACTTAACATGGAAGCTTCCGGATAGTTCAGTTACACAAATTCCCACGCATTCGAGCACTAATTAGCCATTCAGAGGGCGTATTTTGTGGGCGGGAAGAGTGACGTCACAGCCCGGCCATATATAAGCCGCGCCATCAGCCCCGCCTCTCAGTCAACCCCTCGCCTTCACCAGAGCGAAAACTCTCACATCTTCTCTCCTAAGCCTTAATACACCTGTGTTGAGTGAACGATACGCTAGACACACCACAAACTCGACGAAAAGAGACACAAGAGAAAGAACAACAACCTCGTTCGTCTGTTAGTGCAACACGTGCCTGAAAACCCACAGAATATGCTGCGAACTCTCCGACCACAGACCTACGAGGCCCAAATGCCGCGCCTCGTTTCAGGTAAGGAAGGGATTGCCGCCTGTTGCCACGGGCGTTGGGGATTTTCCTTGCAAGGCGCCGCTCTCCTGCAGCCGCTTGCGTTGACCTCCGGGGAGTGACTTGCACCTCTCTTTGCTAAATTGTCACGGCTGCTGCATCAGGTTGCGAAGACTGTTTACTTCATCAAACATTTAGTTGTCAAGTTTTTTTCTTTGGTATTTGTTTCTAAATGATGTGTTTAATGATAAAACCTGATGAGAAACAGTAACTGTTGTGACAGCTGAGGCATCTGACAGTAAAATTAAAGAGAGAGAGAGGGGGGGAGGAGGAGAGAGTGTGTGAGTGAGTAAAAGGGAAGGAGGGTGGGAAGTAAGAAGAAAAGGGAGAGATAGAGAGAGAGAGAAAGAGTGAGTAAGTGACAGAGAGAGAGAGCGGGATGAAAAAAAGAGTGAGAGGAAGTGAAACAAAGAAAGAGGAAATGAGATAGAGAAAGAGAGGAAGTGAGATAGAGAAAGAGAGAGAAGGAACACTGTCCATCTCCGCAGGGGTTTGTTGCAAGGTCGAAAGAGTATCATTTCCGTGGAGAGTGACCCTTCTTCCGTGATGCTATGTTGCGTAAACCTTCTACTCAATACTCGCTATTTAATACATGGTTATTATAATACTTATCTGACCAAAGCCATCTTCTTTCCGCAGACTTCTACGACTACAATGCCGAGGAGGACGAATTCGCCGCTAGCCTCTTGGCCGCCCACTTCTGCGGTCTCGTGCACAGAGCTCGCAAGAACAAGCTGGCGCAGCTCACCAGAGAATCCCAGAGTGCAGCGTCTAACACCCAGGTGAGTCAGAGAAAGGGAGAGAAGAGGAATAACAATGCGCTATAGAAAAACGGATGAACATAAAGACATGGTTAATACATAAAATAGTCATGGTAAATACAAAATAAGAAAAGAAAAGAGAGAGAAAAAACGATGATGTGGAGCTCACTTTTCCTTCTTTTATTTGTTCCAGGATCCTGCTATGACTGCCTGGCTCACCAAGCTCATTCCCTCCATGAAGACCCAGGTGCCCGTCTTCCTTCCTCGCAATTTCGTGGCGCGGGTCGTGAGGGACGTCATGAGGATGAGCGAAGGAGAAGTGTACGGCATCAGGTTGGTAGAGCGTTATTTTACTCCTGAGACGGTCCGCGAAGGGCTGTACTTTGCTATCTAGATAAACATAATTGATGCCCTGATATTGCTGCAAATCAGATATCATTAACTCCTGATTAGGACTTTGCAAGAGCGACCCACGCACGAGAGCAGGTCTTAAGAACAGGCCCTTTTGTTGTTTACAGAGGCTGCACTCTGTTCCTGGATGTTCTCTCTGGGAACAAGAGCGTGTGTCTCGGCAAGATCGTGTGCGACCCCAACACGCCCACCACTTGCACCATCCACATTCTGATGACCCGAGTTGACCCGCCCACCGACAACGTGGGATTCAACCTCTTCGGCATCAAGTGAGTAGTGGGTTTATGACCTGTGTGAGTTGGATGAGAAAGGTATCATGTTTTGAAATGGTTTGCTAAAGTAGTTGATGAAGACAAACTTTTGACCGACGTTAAAGATAAGTTGTGTAGAGTGCTTGTCTTCCTGCCTCTGCCTTTACATATTTTACTTCTATTGCCCTGACAAGTGGAATCTCTCCAGAAGAAAAGTCCTCACTCCTATTTTCCTTCGTTCCAGACTGCTGAACAGCCAGAAGGACGCCGTGTACATCAGCCCGGGCTACACCGTCGAGAAGAGACGACCCAAAGGCTTGGCTAACAACTCTCTCTAGATATTTCCTCATCATATCATGCCAGAGTGTTTCCCACAGTATCTCTAGTCATGACGTCGCATTACTCCATTACATATTCGTGTCTTCATTGTACTCATACATTGTGTGAACATCAGTGGCCTCTTCATACTGAAATGTGATATTTTTGATAGTTTTTTAAGAATAAAACGGTTATGAATTATAAATTGTTTTTCCTTTGTGTGTATCCAGTTCTTTAAGAATATCCATCTGTCTTTATTTATGTTTATGTATATATGTATGTATATACACATACACACATTTATATACATATATATAACATATATATATATATATATATATAATATATATTATTATATATATATATATATATATATATATATATATTTATATATATTATATTATATATATAATATATATATATATATATATATTATATATATATATATATATATATATATATGCAGGCGTGGTTTTATCTGTGTAATATGTAATAGGCTATAGTATATCTAGTATTAGCTGAGCTAGTGTTCAGAATTATAGAGCTTTAAGATAATGTGGAACTATTGAAAAGAATAATCAATTACATTTACCCCATGTAGTAGGATAGCATGACTCGCCGGCAAGTCCACTGTGATTCTAATTCATTCAAAGCATTTCCACAAAGATGGCTCCATAAGTGCTTAGTGAAAGAGTCAGTTATTGGTCCTACCTGTCACACTTGTTAACTCGTCTTCTTGTTTTCGGAAAGGTTACTTTTTTCATCTTTTACTGTTAGCAGTATTTTAGTGGTAAATGATAATCATAACGTCAATAATAATGATAAAAGTATCGATATCAATGGAATTTGGACAAAATATATTAATACAAGGATGGCCTACTAATTCACTACTTGGTGACTGAGCACTTGTGGAACCATCTGTGTGCGACTAAATTCACAAAAAAATACAGTGGACCACAAATGTTTCTTCTTATTGCCGAATCTGGTTACGATTTCTGACACGTGTGAATCCATATTGAGGAAATTCAGTTAATAAGCGTTATTTTGTTTTGTTAACTGAGATCTGGGCCATCCTCTACCCCATCCCTCTGACATCATTGTCGATGAGAGACAGAAAAGGAGACAGAGGCAGAGGCAGAAAAGGAGACAGAGGCAGACAGAAAAGGAGACAGAGGCAGACAGAAAAGAAGACAGAGGTAGAGACAGAAAAAGGAGACAGAGGCATAGACAGAAAAGGAGACAGAGGCAGAGGCAGAAAAGGAGACAGAGGCAGAGGCAGAAAAGAGAGACAGAGGCAGAGACAGAAAGGAGACAGAGGCAGAGGCAGAGGCAGAGACAGAAAAGAAGACAGAGGCAGAGACAGAAAAGGAGACAGAGGCAGAGACAGAAAAGGAGACAGAGGCAGAGGCAGAGGCAGAAAGGAGACAGAGGCAGAGACAGAAAAGGAGACAGAGGCAGAGGCACTACCGACGCCCACGCGGGAAACGCCAATGCCGCCTCCGCTGGGAAACGGAAGGCGTCGTCCTTAAAATCTGCCGAGGCTTTTGGCTCACTCGCGACGGAGGAGAAAATAGAAAGTGGATTCCTTCATGGCTTCCTGTCACAATATAAAAGATCCAAAAAAGAGATGTTAATCATCCGGAACAAAAATAGACGAATTGTATTATCAGCCAAACTTAATTGCATAAATACGAACAGATGAAAGACAGTCATAAGTTCGATGCCAGTATGCGTGCACATGGCAATAAGGGTGAGATATCAAAGCTCTATGCAATCTATTATACAAATTCATACAATAGCGTCAAATACTTAATACATACAGAAGTAGTTTTATACTAAGAGAGGCTCAGATGCAGAGGCATGTGCGAGCAGCTCAGGAATAAGCGCAAGGGTGTATGTGGATATATGTATAGATATAGGCATATATATATACGTAAAACGTGTGTATGTGAATGTATGTAGTGTGTGTACTGTATATACACATCTCTCTCGCCTCTCTCTTCTCTCTCTCTCTCTCTCTCGCCTCTCTCTCTCTCTCTCTCTCTCTCTCTCTCTCTCTCTCTCTCTCTCTCTCTCTCTCTTGCTCTCTCTCTTCTCTCTCTCTCTCTCTTCTCCTCTCTCTCTTTCGCTCGCTCTCTATCGCTCTCTATCGCTCTCTATCGCTCTCTTCTCTCTCTCTGCCTCTCTCTCTCTCTCGCTCTCTTATCACTCTCTCTCTCGCGCTCTCTATCGCTCTCCTCTCTCTCTCTC